GGATGGAATGGGGTCGGTGGATGGATGGTGACGATGGATTGATGGGTAGGTGGATGGATGGACTGGATGGATGGCTGGGTAGGTGGATGGATGGGTGGATGGATGGGTGGGTAGGTAGATGGATGGGTGGATGGATGGGTGGGTAGGTGGATGGATGGATGGATTGATGGGTAGGTGGATGCATGGATGGATGGATGGATGGGTAGGTGGATGGATGGGTGGATGGATGGGTGGGTAGGTGGATGGATGGGTGGATGGATGGGTGGTGGATGGATGGGTGGATGGATCGGTGGGTAGGTAGATAGATGGGTGGATGGATGGGTGGGTAGGTGGATGGATGGATGGATTGGATGGGTAGGTGGATGGATGGATGGATGGATGGATGGGTAGGTGGATGGATGGGTGGATGGATGGGTAGGTGGATGGATGGGTGGATGGATGGGTGGGTAGGTGGATGGATGGGTGGATGGATGGGTGGGTAGTGGATGGATGGATGGATTGATGGGTAGGTGGATGGATGGATGGATAGATGGATGGGTAGGTGGATGGAGGGTGGATGGAGAATGGATGGGTGGGTGGTGGGTGGATGGATGGGTTGATGGATGGATGGTGGGATGGGTGGATGGATGGATGGATGGATGGATGTGTGGATGGGTGGATGGTGGATGGGTGGATGGATGGGTGGGTAGGTAGATGGATGGGTGGATGGATGGGTGGGTAGGTTGATGGATGGAGATGGATGGGTAGGTGGATGGATGGGTGGATGGATGGGGGTAGGTGGGATGGATGGATGGATGGATGGGTAGGTGGATGGATGGGTGGATGGATGGGTGGGTAGGTGGATGGATGGATGGATTGATGGGTAGGTGGATGGATGGATGGATGGGTGGGTAGGTTGATGGATGGATGGATGGATGGGAAGGTCGATGGATGGGTGGATGGATGGGTGGGTAGGTAGATGGATGGGTGGATGATGGGTGGGTAGGTGGATGGATGGATGTATTGATGGGTAGGTGGATGGTGGATGAATGGATGGATGGGTAGGTGGATGGATGGGTGGATGGATGGATGGGGTGGATGATGGATGGATGGATGGGTAGGTGGATGGATGGGTGGATGGATGGGTGGGTAGGTGGATGGATGGGTGGATGGGTGGGATGGATGGGTGCGTGGTGGATGATGGATGGTTGGGTGTGGATGGGTGGATGGATGGATGGATGGATGGGTGGGTGGATGGGTGGATGGATGGATGGATGGGTAGGTGGATGGATGGGTGGATGGATGGATGGGTAGGTGGATGGATGGGTGGATGGATGGATGGGTAGGTGGATGGATGGATGGGATGGATGGGTGGATGTGATGGATGGATGGATGGATGGGTAGGTGGTGGATGGATGGATGGGTGGATGGATGGGTGGTGGATGGATGGATGGATGGATGGGTAGGTGGATGGATGGGTGGATGGATGGGTGGGTAGGTGGATGGATGGATGGATTGATGGGTAGGTGGATGGATGGATGGATGGATGGATGGGTAGGTGGAGGATGGATGGGATGGGGTGTAGGTTGATGGATGGATGGATGGATGGGGTAGGTGGATGGATGGGTGGATGGATGGGTGGGTAGGTAGATGGATGGGTGGGATGGATGGGTGGGTAGGTGGATGGATGGATGGATGGATGGGTAGGTGGATGGATGGATGGATGGATGGATGGGTAGGTGGATGGATGGGTGGATGGATGGATGGGTAGGTGGATGGATGGATGGATGGATGGATGGGTAGGTGGATGGATGGGTGGAAGGATGGGTGGGTAGGGGTGGATGGATGGATTGATGGGTAGGTGGATGGATGGATGGATGGATGGATGGGTAGGTGGATGAGTGGATGGATGGGTGAGGTGGATGGGTGGATGGATGGATGGGTAGGTGGATGGATGGATGGATGGATGGGTAGGTGGATGGATGGGTGGATGGATGGGTGGGTAGGTGGATGGATGGATGGGTGGATGGGTGGATGGATGGGTGGGTAGGTGGATGGATGGATGGCTGGGTGTGTGGATGGATGGATGGGTGGATGGGTGGATGGGTAGGTGGATGGATGGGTGGATGGATGGATGGACGGGTGGATGGATGGGTGGATGGGTGGATAGATGGATGAATGGATGGATGGATGGATGGGTAGGTGGATGGATGGGTGGATGGATGAATGGATGGGTGGGTGGATGGGTGGATGGATGGGTTGATGGATGGATGGTTGGATGGGTGGATGGATGGATGGATGGATGGATGGATGATGGATGGATGGATGGATGGGTGGATGGATGGGTGGGTAGGTAGATGGTGGGTGGATGGATGGGTGGGTAGGTGGATGGATGGATGGATTGATGGGTAGGTGGATGGATGGATGGATGGATGGATGGATGGATGGATGGATGGGTAGGTGGATGGATGGGTGGATGGATGGATGGGTAGGTTGATGGATGGATGGATGGATGGGTAGGTGGATGGATGGGTGGATGGATGGGTGGGTAGGTAGATGGAGGGTGGATGGATGGGTGGGTAGGTGGGGATGGATGGATTGATGGGTAGGTGGGATGGATGGGATGGAGATGGATGGGATGGGTAGGTGGATGAGTGGATGGATGGGTGGGTGGATGGATGGGTGGATGGATGGGTGGATGGGTGGATGGATGGATGGATGGATGGGTGGATGGATGGATGGATGGATGGGTAGGTGGATGAGTGGATGGATGGGTGGGTGGATGGGTGGATGGATGGATGGGTAGGTGGATGGATGGATGGATGGATGGATGGGTAGGTGGATGGGGTGATGGATGGGTGGATGGATGGGTGGGTAGGTGGATGGATGGATGGATGGGTGTGTGGATGGATGGATGGGTGGATGGGTGGATGGGTAGGTGGATGGATGGGTGGATGGATGGATGGACGGGTGGATGGATGGGTGGATGGGTGGATAGATGGATGAATGGATGGATGATGGATGGGTGGATGGGTAATTGGATGGATGGGTGGATGGATGGATGGATTAATGGGTGGTTGAATGGATGGATGGATGAATGGATGGATGGCTAGAGATCTGATGGTGGTTACACAGCTAAGGTGGCTGGATGGCTCAGACAGACTGGGTGGGCGGGTGGATGGTGGCCGACAGATGGCATCGTGGGTGGGTGCAGACGGGCAGTGCGGGGAGGTAGACAGGCCGGGTGGGGAGGAGCCGGGCACTGTACACGCCGACGGGCTCAGCAGGTAGCGGCTCCTGTGCTGGGCTCGTGGCCCTCGGCTGTGGGACCTGTGGGGACAGAGGGACAGATGGTAAGGGGCTGGACAGACGACACATGGGTACGCGGTGACACAGGGTGGGTTCATGGACGCGTCACCGACAGGCTGGCCGATGGCCGGTCCGTGAGTGCATAACACTCAGGCTGAGGAGGGTTGGTGCTCGATCAGTGTGCACACAGCAGACAGACAGACATGGCCGCCGGACAGACAGACAGACGTGGTGGGTGCGTGCGGTGACTGCAGCTGGCCGGGTTGGTAGGTGGGCAGATGGACCCCGTCCTGCTCCCAGCTCTGGGCCGGGCCGGGTGCTTTTCTCCCCCTGGTGCCAGCTCCCCCCCAGGGCCGCCATGTTGGTTTCTGTCCCTCTGTCCTGGCCTCTCCCCTGGGTCCACCTGTGCTGAGTGTTATTAAAAGGTCCCCGGGCTGGCAAGGGCGTCCCCTTCTGGTTCTCCGGGCCTCCCCACACCCTCGAGGGGCTGAGGTCCACCATCCAGTCACCCTGGTGTCCCTCCACCCGCCCACCAGGGGCAGCGCTGGGCAGGACAGGCCTGGACTCAGCGCCCGTGCTCCATCTCTCTCCAGCTCTCTATGCAAACACGGAGCTGTCCAGCGCCTATCTGACCAGCCGCAGCCGGACATCCCAGCGGAACATGGTGCTCTACCTGGCCGGGACCACCTACCGGTGCTGGGCGCACCTGGCCGAGGCCGTGAGGTGGGCGCCGGGCCCCGAGTGACCAGGTCCCCTGCAGCGTTAAACCCATCGCTGCCGGCACCAGAGACCCGAATCGGGGACTTGAGGCCCCGTCAGCACTGGGCGAACCTCTGGAGGGTCCCCAGCCAGGGAGCAGTCTGTGCCACCTTATGGGGTGCAAGAGGGTGGGGAGGGGCCAGAGAACAGGGCGCCGAGGAGCAGGCTCTGCCTGGCCTGGGTCTGTGGGCGTCCTGCTGTCCACGTCCCGGGTGGACCCGGGTGGTTCCCTGAGGGCTCTGGAGGAGATGCAGGGCGCAGGGTCTCCCCGCTCCACCCGCCCGGAGCCCCCAGCCACACCCCCGATTCCGGGAGGACAGGTGTGCGTCACCCACCTGGATCCAGAGTCGAAGTCCCAGAGGCAGAGATTGTCCTCTTTCCCAGGGAAGGGAAGAATCAGTACCCGCAGGCTTTCGGGGTGCCCTCTCAGGACCTGTTCACGGCCATCTACAGGTAATGCAAGTCCCGCAGGGCCCCGCTCTGACAGCAGCGTCCTTAGAGGGCACCGGACACTGTGCCAGAAAGACCACGTGCAGGGCCTTCCATCCAGAAATCAAAATAATGCACCAGCTTGCTCCCTGCTTCCCGGCCACCATGATGGGAGCTCTCTCCTCCCCACACCGTCCACCATGATGCTCCCGCCTTGGAGCAGCCGGCCATGGACTGCACCCTCTGCACCCCTGAGCCACACTGAGCTCCCTCTTTAAGCTGTGCTCTGGGCCCCGGCTCCTCCCTTCTCTCCCTGCTTCCCGGCCACCATGATGGGAGCGTCTCTCCTCCCCACACCGTCCACCATGATGCTCCCGCCCTGGAGCAGCCGGCCATGGACTGCACCCTCTGCACCCCTGAGCCACACTGAGCTCCCTCTTTAAGCTGTGTTCTGGTCCCCGGCTCCTCCTTCTCTCCCTGCTTCCCGGCCACCATGATGGGAGCGTCTCTCCTCCCCACCCGTCCACCATGATGCTCCCGCCTTGGAGCAGCCGGCCATGGACTGCACCCTCTGCACCCCTGAGCCTGATAATCCCGTCCTCTGAGTGACTGATGTCTGGTGTTTTCCCAGTTTGGGATAGTGACTGAGACATGTAGCCTCCTCTTTGTGATCACTCCGGCCGACGCTGACCGCGGACGCCCAGGGTTTTGCACGACCCTTGCACTGTGAATTTGCACCCCAGGTCCGAGGCTGAGCGCCTGCGGTTTATGCGTGGCCTCCAGGAGGTCTGGAGCGTCAGCGGGAGCCGCGTGCTGCCGCCTTCGACCTGTCGCCCTTCCCGCTGGTCTGCGACCTGGGAGGTGAGCGCGTCCCCCTGAGCTGGGCGCCGAGATTCCTGTTCTGTGTCCACCGTGGGCTGACCACGTGCTGGCCACGTGCTGTCCTGGGTGTACTGACCCGTGGTGCAGGGTGCACAGTCCCCTCCCTTGACGAGGCACACGCGGCACCTCGGTCCACTCACCTTGATCACCGGCACTGGACACCAAGCCGCTGGCCACCTGCCCTCACCGAGAGCTGCTGAGATAGTGCCCAGTGGCCAGCTCCCTCCCCTGCCCCCCTCCCGTTCCCGCCCTCCGTCCCCCTGTGCACCAAGCCTCAGGCCTCCCGCACGGCCTCCAGGGACCCTCAGCAGGCCTGACCAGGAGGACGCGGTCCAGCCCGAGTCCGGCTCGGCCCCGGCGGCCACAGCCCAGACCTGGAGGGTGTTGAGCGACTCGCAGGGTCCACTCTGAGGGCCCCACGCGTGCGTCCTGTTCAGGAGGTTCCGGGGCGCTGGCCCGGGAGTGTGCCACCCTGTACCCCGACGCCACGTCACCGTCTTGGACATCCCGGAAGTCGTGCGGGCGGCCCGGGCTCACTTCCCCTTCCCGGAGGGGGCGCGGATCTGCTTCCCAGGAAGGTGAGGTGCGGGTGCAGGCTTGGGGGCTCCCTCCCCGGTCCCGGTGCCCGCCCTCATTTCCGAGCACCCTAGTGACCACGGAGCTGGACTCTGGGGCTGCCCTGAGGTCCAGCCGGGACCCTTCCCGTCCCTCGTTCCCGCCTGTGGCCACCGTGGCCTTGGTGGCCAGCTCGGGCCTGGCAGACGCAATCAGGGAAGATGAGACACGGAGGGACGGCATCCCGGAGGAGGCAGAGGCGGGAGGGTCTCCTGCAGCCTCCTGTTTTGGGGGGAAACTCTAGATGCCACATCGGCCCTGTGCGGGGTCACCTCTTCCTCCCCGGCTTTGAAAAACAACAATTTCTTATTTGATCTGGTTTCCGCAACCCCCAAAATGGCTCCCCCAAGAAGTCAGCTCTCATGGCGCTCCGTGCGTGGTGTGTAAGGGCCCCAAAATCTTGGGTTCCAGAATAAGTGGTCTTTTTGTCAGTGCTGGTTTTGCACCGAGGGTCCTCTGGTGATTAACACCTTCAGGACGTTTTTATTTTTCATTCTGAGAAGCATCTCGCTGGGTCACGCACACCCAGGCTGGGCTGACCAGACGGCCTCCTGCCTCAGCCTCCCAGAGCGCCGTGATGACAGGCGGACACCTCCACCCCCAGCTCCCAATTATGATTTGTGGGGTGCTTTAAAATCAACGTGCAGCACAGACAGAGTCTCTGGGGATGAGACTCCACACCGTGCACCCTAAAAGTTGGGACTTGGGTGCACTCAGCCTTGTTGGATGGCGGACTGCGCCCTCGCCCTCAGTGGACAGGTCTCGGCCTCGGAAATGGGCGTGCAGGTGGGCGTGCATGTCGGTCCCAGGACCCGGCTGGCTCCTGCCTGTCTCCGGGGCCCCTACATTTTGTGGGAGCAGGCAGGGGGCAGCATGGCGGACCTCTGCTGCAGGAGCAGGGTTAGCGCGGGGCCGGGCGCTGCCGGGTTGGGTCACACTCACCTCGTCTCTGCCCGACTGCAGGAGACTTCTTCCGGGACGGGCTCCCGCAGGCCGATCTGTACATCCTGGCCAGGGTCCTGCACGACTGGGGGGACCCCAAGTGCTCGGCGCTGCTGAGCCGCATCCACGGCGCCTGCAGGCCAGGTGCGCACGGGCCGCGGTGCGGGGAGCTGAGGGCAGGGTCCTGGGGTCACAGCCCCAGCGGGGGCTCACCTGCCCCGCGTGCCTGCCCAGGTGGGGGCGTCCTGGTGGTGGAGAGCGTCCTGCAGGAGGACCGCCGCGGGCCCCGCTCCGCCCTGTTCCTCTCCCTGAACATGCTGCTACAGACCGAGGGCCTGGAGCGCAGCCCGGGCCAGTACCGGGCGCTGCTGGCCGCCGCCGGCTTCGGGGATTTCCGGTTCAAGAGGACGGGGGGCGTCTACGATGCCATGTTAGCCCGGAAGCCGCTGCCCCTGGGGTGGGGGGCCACCGTGCCGTGACAGCACTCACAATAAAGAGCCAGCTTTCCCTGCGTCCTGGTGTTTGGGGGCAGAGAGAGGCGGATTCTGTGGGCAGCACGATGGCCGTGCCGTTCAGCCGGAGGCTCTGCCTTTGGGAGGAGATGAATCCCGGGTGCTGGCCCTCAGAGGACCCGTCCAGGGCTGAGGTCCTGGCTGACTGTGCTGCAGGAGGTGGGCATTTGTGGGAGGTGGACACGGGGGTCCCCGGCTCCTCCCTTCTCTCCCTGCTTCCCGGCCACCATGACGGGAGCGTCTCTCCTCCCCACACCGTCCACCATGATGCTCCCGCCTTGGAGCAGCCGGCCATGGACTGCACCCTCTGCACCCCTGAGCCACACTGAGCTCCCTCTTTAAGCTGTGTTCTGGTCCCCGGCTCCTCCCTTCTCTCCCTGCTTCCCGGCCACCATGATGTGGGCGTCTCTCCTCCCCACACCGTCCACCATGATGCTCCCGCCCTGGAGCAGCCGGCCATGGACTGCACCCTCTGCACCCCTCAGCCACACTGAGCTCCCTCTTTAAGCTGTGTTCTGGTCCCCGGCTCCTCCCTTCTCTCCCTGCTTCCCGGCCACCATGATGGGAGCGTCTCTCCTCCCCACACCGTCCACCATGATGCTCCCGCCTTGGAGCAGCCAGCCATGGACTGCACCCTCTGCACCCCTGAGCCACACTGAGCTCCCTCTTTAAGCTGTGTTCTGGTCCCCGGCTCCCCCATTCCCTCCCTGCTTCCCGGCACCATGACGGGAGCATCTGTCCTCCCCACACCATCCACCATGATGCTCCCGCCTTGGAGCAGCCGGCCATGGACTGCACCCTCTGCACCCCTGAGCACACTGAGCTCCCTCTTTAAGCTGTGTTCTGGTCCCCGGCTCCTCCCTTCTCTCTCTGCTTCCCAGCCACCATGATGGGAGCGTCTCTTCTCCCCACACCGTCCACCATGATGCTCCCGCCCTGGAGCAGCCGGCCATGGACTGCACCCTCTGCACCCCTGAGCCACACTGAGCTCCCTCTTTAAGCTGTGCTCTGGTCCCCGGCTCCTCCCTTCTCTCCCTGCTTCCCGGCCACCATGATGTGAGCGTCTCTCCTCCCCACACCGTCCACCATGATGCTCCCGCCTTGGAGCAGCCGGCCATGGACTGCACCCTCCGCACCCGTGAGCCTAATCAATCTTCTCCCTTAACCTGTGAGTGTGAAGTCTCAGTCAGAAGCTGACACGGTGGCCCCCGTGGCTCCACCACCCCAGACATCCACCCCGTCTCCCAGGCTGTCCGCCTATAGTGATGGTGAACACCTTTCCTCCCTGAGTCTCTTTACAAGTTGACTCTGGTACCATCTCAGCTCCTAGTGCAAGCACGAGGGCTGCAATCCAAGAATATGGTGCATATTGCAGAGAATTAAGCCTCACTACGGGCTGGGGATGCAGCTCGTGGCACAGCGCCTGCCTGGCCGGCCTGAGGCCTGAGTTCGATTGTCCATATCAAAGCAAACACGAAAAATGCAATACAGCAACAGACTCCCTGCCACAAAAACCCTTTAAAGTCCTCCCCGGCTCTGCATGGCTCATCCCAGCATCCCAGCCGCTCTGTACAGCAGCTCTGGGGTCCTCTGTCCACAGGGTCTTTATGAGATGTGATCAGAAACCCGGTGATGGCCATTGTCCAGCGCCGTCCAGCAGAAAGGCAGCTGTAAACACAGGACTCCGGGTCCCCGTCCACCTCGGTCCCCGGAGCTGGCCTGTGCAACTCCTGGCTCCTCCCCAAGGTCACAGTGACCGGGGAAGGTCAAGGTTTTGGGTCCATTCGGGACACGGAGGTGGCCAGGACGGCGCAGCTAAAGGTCATCTGTGTTGCTGGCCTTTGCTTTCTGTGGCCCTGGGCAGCAGCAGTGTGTGCAGGACGTTTATGTCCAGCTGCTGAATTTGTGACCAGGTGTCACAGGGATTGACTTTCCAGAGACATCCAGCCCCAGCCGATGCTGGTGAGGTCCTGTTGGGCAGTTTCTCTCTCTCTCTCTCTCTCTCTCTCTCTCTCTCTCTCCCCCCCCCCCCAGGCGAGGCAGGGCCAGGCAATGAAGCTGACCGTGCAGCCCAAGCGAGGAAGCATCACATCCATTGGGCTGGTTCGGCTCTCTCAGGAGAACTCACACTGGACCTCTTCACGTCCATCGCCACCGTCCCTCTGGCTGCGCGCACTCAGCAAACTCGCAGGGTCGACCAGTTACCCCGCAGTGTGATTGACAGGGGCCCGCATGGACGCAAGTCATTCTGGGATGTCTCCGCCCCCAACCCCGTGATTGACAGCTGCCTGGCGCCATAGCTGGATGACTGGCGAGCAGGTTCAGCCAATGAGAGACAGGAGGGAGAGACAGGGGGCGGGAAGAGAAAGGCGCCGGGGTATTTATTCCCAGCACGTAGCTGGATTTTTCTTCCGGATCGGAATTTGGCCAGAATTGGTCCTCTACCTTGTTCTCTGGGAGGCTGGGGCGGTTCATTATCTTTTCCTGGGGTTTCTTTTGACTCAAGATCCCATCTTTTCCCCAAGACTGTGACCGGCTTGTCGTTCTAACACCTGGGAGGCTGAGGCAGGAGGATTCCCGGGAGTTCAGGCCAGCCTGGGCTCCGTAGTGACTTGGAGGGCAGTATGGGCTACATAGCGAGACCCTGTCCCCAAAACTCAAGCCAAACCGAGTCAGTCCAAAGTGAGTCAGGAACGGAGAGCTGCATTTCCAGACCATCTGATGTAATGTAACAGGATATGCGTAGGAAACACACCTTCCCCAGGACTCTCACGAGCTACCTCACGTCAGAAGAAGTGGAATCAGGGATCTGGAGAGCCGTGGGGCAGCGTTATTTACACAGCCACAAAGCGGGGGCAACCCATGGACGGATGATGGATGGACAGTCTGTCTTGTGTGGAGGAATACTATTCAGTCATGAAAAAGTGTGACCACCGAAGACTGACCTTGAGGGGGATCCCTAGAGGGACGGAGCAGGGGGCGGTTACCAGGGCCAGGGCCAACAGAGACAAAGCCGACACCCTGCTATCCACGTCTGGGAGGCATGGCCTGCACGCACCCGTGGGTACCTTGCACCCCCAGTAGATGTAACGGTGGCGAGGGCATGTTTTGGGTGACGTGGGTCTCAGCCGTGTCTGGCGTCCCCTGGGACAGAAAGGAAAGCGAAGGACGGGGCCTGTGGAGCCGGCGTCCAGCAGGGGGCGCGCGTGCGCCGTGGCCAGGTCCAGCTGGGCTCCCAGGCCTCTGCAGGCCCCGCTGGTTTATCCCACTCGGGGAGCACAGCTGCACCCTGCCGTGCCATCTGCGGGGTTCACAGAGTGGGAGAGGCTCCGCATGGGTGGTCAGCACTGACCACAGCCACAGCCGAGGGTGCGGAGCCCTCAGAGTCCCCCCCGCCCTGCATGGCCCCCCAGATCCGGCCGCTCTCCCTGCAGCTTGGGGTGCTCTATCCTCAGGGACTTTAGCTGCACCGTCCTGTCCGCCTCCATGTCCCGAATGGACCCCAAACTCTGACCTTTCCCGGTCACTGTGACCTTGGGGAGGAGCCGGGAGTCGCACGGGGCCAGCTCTGGGGACCGAGGTGGACGGGGACCGGCGTCCTGTCACCATCTATCAATACCACTGTAACTGACATCTGAGTCTGTGTCTGTGTCCAGGGTGGACATCAGAATCTACCCCGTCTCACCCCGGGGAGAACAGCCGCCATCCAAGCAAACATCCAAGCAAACAATACCAGGGCTGGCGGGGCTGAGGGCAGAAGGGGCCTTTCCACACCCACGGCGGGAGTCTAACCCAGGGCCAGCACCGGGGAAATCCGCATGCAGAGTCCTCAGACAGCTAAAGCTAGAAACTCAGTCTGCCCCAGCCGTTCCCTGGTTATAGCAGCCCGATTCCTGATGGCGGCCTCCTGGAAGCAGCGTCTGTGTCCACTGACAGCCCAGTGTGTGAGGAAAGGTTGGTGTTTACACACAGTGGAGTACTACTCTGCCCCGAAGAAGGGCAAACTTGTAGGGAAGCAGGTCGCCCTTCAGAATACAATGTGAATTGAAATAAATCGGACATGAAATACTGCAGTGTTCCCCTTGTGCAAGAAATCCAAAATGTAACTAAAAAGCGAGATGAAAGATTAAAAGAATCACGGCTAGTTTGATATCCAGGTGTCCACCTCTGATGCTCTGTGTCCAGGCCCATGGGGCTGACTGTGTCCACGTGTAAACCTCTGACGTGTGGCTGTCTGTCTGTGTAGATAATGACACCTTGTGGGGGTCACTGACCTGCGGGTCTGCACCCATGGCGGTGCCCAGGGTGCCCATGTGCCCCTGGCCCCGGGGGAGGACTCGGGGACGCTCCGTCTGCCCGAGGAACCCTCGTTTCCTCCAAGAGTCTGGGTCCCTCTCTCGCTCTCGATCCCCTAACAGCTGTCACTACACGACTTTCAGCCCTGAGGTGAAGCAATCTGAGGTCCCACACCGTAGGGGTGAGATGGGGCTCAGGGAATGCGCCCCAATGGGTTGAGTTGATGCAGGGGCAGCCAGCACCTGTCGAGCTTTGGAAAACTGCACCGTCCACACAGAGTGTGGGGTCACAGATTCTCACGCGTGCAGGCTCCAGCCACGCCAGGCAGGCACGTGGCGCTGGATCCCGCAATTGAGGGCTTGCTGGGGAGCCGGTCAAGCTGCAGAGCCAAGTGTGGACGGCATCTCCCAGAATCCATTTCTGCATCTCCCAGAATCAACCTCTGCATCTGCCAGAATCCACCTCTGCATCTCCCAGAATCCACCTTTGCATCTCCCAGAAGCCACCTCTGCATCTCCCAGAATCCACCTCTGCACCTCCCAGAATCCACCTCTGCACCTCCCAGAATCCACCTCTGCATCTCCCAGAATCCACCTCTGCATCTCCCAGAAGCCACCTCTGCATCTCCCAGAATCCACCTCTGCATGTCCCAGAAGCCACCCCTGTGGTTGACAAACTCCTCCATACGGCTTGATTCCCAGCCAGGCGGCTCCATCTCTTTGGCATCAGAGACCGGCCTGGTCATCGCTGCCCAGATCCCGGTACTCGGCCGCTCCAGACGCCCCTCCAGGCCCCGTGACCGCTGCCCTGCCCTCCGCACCTGTGATCGGATGCTCGGACCGTGTGCACTTGACGCCGGGTCTCAGAGGACGCCCCTCGGCTGCGGGCAGATGTGCAAACCCGGATAGACGCGGGCTGCTCTGAGACCGCGTGGCTGCTCCCTCCGGACAAAGAGGAGGATTCTGGGGGCATAAGAAACAGGCCCCGAGACCCGACCGGGGTTCGGGAACCGGTGCAGAGCGGGGTGTGAATTTCATCACAGCTTTGGGGGCTCAGGGGGGCCGGATAGTGGTCAGCGTCCAAACTTAGAAAGTTGTGTGAGAGCCTGCAGACCTGGGCCTCGGGCCGATCTGGGTCTGCTGTGTGCGTGTGTGTAAGTGCATGTGCACACGTGTGTGCGTGTGTGTGAATGCATGTGGGTGTGTGTGCATGTGTGCATGTATGTACCTGTGTGTGCACGAGTGTGAGTTTGTGTGCACGTGCAAGTGTGTGTGCATGCTTGTGCATGCGTGTATGCATGTGAGTTTGTAAGTGTGTGCATGTGTGTGTGCATGCTTGTGCATGTGTGTGCGTTTGTGTGTGCATGCTTGTGCATGTGTGTTTGTAAGTGTGTGCATGCTTGTACATGCTTGTGCATGTGTGTTTGCGTGTGCGTGTGTTCATGCTTGTGCATGCGTGTGCATGTGTGCATGCGTGTGCATGTGTGTGCATGTGGGTCATTTTTCCATGTTGCAAAAATCTCCAAGACTCGAGAGCGCCTTGGGCCCCCTTCCCCGTCCTCCGCCCGCGTGGATTTCCGTGGCCGCGTCACCCAGGGCCGCCCGCCCGCCCTGGCAGGATTAGGTGCCCTGTTCCCCGGTGGGCGCCACCTCCCCGTGTCTCCAGGGACATTCATCGGCCTCTGCTGCCTTCGCTGTGTCCACTCCCGGTGAGGACGCAGAGGCCGCGGCCTGCCCTGGCTGCAGAGCTCCCCCCGGGCCCCGTCACGCCCATGTGCAGGGTCCCCGCCTGGCCTCGGGAGCCAGGGGTGCAGGCAGGCCCCCTTCTCGGCACCGGGGCCTTTTCCTGTGCAGCCCTCGCGTGCTCGGCCGGCTGCCCTGCGCCCCGAGTCGTGCACACCCGATCAGCTTCCCGTGTGACAAGCACCGGCGTGCTCGGTGGCCGGAACCCTGTTTAGTGTTTGCATCACACACGGACAGCGCTTGAGGCGATGCAGGGCTCGCGTGCACACAGGGCCCGCTCACTGCAGATCAACAAAGGGAAAGATGAAAGGCTCGGCCAGCAACAGAGGAGCCTCACAGGAGCTTCAGTCCAGCTCGGAGTGGATTCTCAGAGTTTTAGTGCCCAGAAGGCAAAGCTCTCCGACGGGCCGGCGGAGCTGGGTCACCACACGGTCAGCCTCGGACTGCGCGCTGTAAGGCTGCAAATTCTTGTGTGTGAACAGAAAGCAAATCAAACTAGAGAGAAAAAAACACATTCACTCTGCAAACCGGGGATTTAGCTCAGCGGCACAGAGCCTGCCTGGCAAACCCAAGGTCCTGAGTTCAAATCCTGTACTCAACAGCAGAACAAAATATTCATTCAACAACCCGTGCAGTTAGCAATCATCTTACTTGGAGTAAAGCAACCTGACAAATGATACATCCATATATATATCCATGAAGGGACCAAAATTCACTGGGTGAGTCACGGGGTGTCACCTTGGGAACTCTATATGGTCTCCAATTCCTTGTAATATGGAGACGGGGCTACCGATCTGGGCTGGGATCTGAGGGCCACAATCTTGTAAAGGACAGAGCAGCCCAGGAGGGGTGCTGGACAGGCCCGAAAATCTAAACAGACGACATTTAATTAAACAATCCCTGCTCAGCGACATGGAAACCGATTTGCAAAGCGTCCTGCTGGGCCGCTGTCTCCGCACACCCGGCCTCTGACGGCTCCTTTTAACCCGTGCCATCGGCCGTCGCTGTGATTGGCTTTGCACGCTGGCTGTGGCTCTGCATTTCTGTGATTCATTTCATTAGCAAAGGAACTCGGTTTCTAATACGGAACCTGCTGACTACGAAGCCTAAATATGTCAGAGCCGGACGGTTTTAGTAGCTTTTACGAAGTCAAGTTAAGCCTGATCCGAGCGCCGGATATTCCCGTGGAGACGCCAGCAGCTGCTCTCCGTGAGGTCCTGCGTCATCAAAGGCTGAATAATCTTTGCAGGTTTAAACTCCGGACGGCTCAGAGCGCTGGTGGGTGGTGAGACCATCTCTGCAGCCTCTCTGGGCCGCCCGACATGTCCGCAGGCCGCCGTGACCCTGGGGCTGCCCAGTCTGCAAACCCACACGGCCACCTGCATTTTAGCAGATTTTTCAACAATAAAAAATGTTGCAGGTTTCCTGCAATACAGCCAACCAAAAAGTCTACAAAACAGTGTCGCATGAGTTACGCGTTGCATTTATAATCTTTGCTCGTGATATGATTATTTTTCTCCTGCATTGATGGTTATGTGTGGCCATGAGGTGCAATCATTACAGCCACGCACACGGTTACGGCGCTGAGATCGACTCACGTGACGCGTGTCATGCTGGTAAAGCTGCTTCGCACACAGAATAAAGTGTTTGCACCAACCAGGAGCACGCTGCGCCCGTGTTGCTGAGCTGGAGGAAGGTTGTTGTGTGAAACTTTCTCTCGGCCTCTAAACACGCAGGCTGGAGGCCGGCGTCCAGAAAGGAGCCCCGCTCCCCGCCAGCGCTGCCTCCCCGCCTGTCCAAGGTCCTGCGGTCAACGGCCATGCAGGCCACCTTCCCCGTCCTCAGGGCTCGTGCCCGGCGGGGAGGCCACAGGGCCCGCTCCGCTCGCTGACCCACACAGGCTGCTGCTTGTGGCCGGCTCCTCACGACGAGAAGACCCACGGGGAAGGCGGGACGGCTTCAAATAATTTGCAATTCTAGAGGGAGCAGAGCTGCTGACGGGGCGGGAATCACAGCTCTCAGAGAAGCCGTGCAATTAAAGTTTTATCTCACCGCTTCGGTGGGGAGACGGACTCGGTGTCCCTCGCGGAGGACGCTGGCTTGGTGAAGTGTTTTCATAGCAAACGGCACAGAGAGGAGATTTAACTCCCGAAGGCTCCGCGCCACTCCTGGGTCCCGAGACAGCCCGACACCGATAAAAATAGCTTGAAAATCAAGCCGAGGAAGAAGTGGAAAGAGATAGTCACGGCCCGAGCAGCTTTGTTCACAAGAGCTGAGAGGCGGAAGCAGCCCAAGGGCGAGGGGTTCAAGGAAGGGGTCAGCGGAACACGGCCCCTTTGTGCGAGGGAATATTACATAGCCAGGAAAAGGAAGGCAGTGGATCCTCCCACCTCAGCCCCCCTCAAAGTGCCGCACGGCAGCTGTGCACCTCCCGGCCCAGCTCAGGTAGAGCCGGCCGTGAGCTGAGGTTTGGGGGGGACACGGGGGGCTGCAGGACTCACCTAACCCCCCACCGAGCCCCTGGGCAGCTCGCTTTATTTTGCTATTTTGAGACAGGGTTTGCTCAGGTGCCCACAATGCTTCTGCCTCAGCCTCCCAGCAGCTGGAATCAGGGCCGGGGGTCCCGATGTCCGCGGTGCTTCCCGACAAAATACAGACTTCAAAGCGGCTAGAGAAGGGGGCGCCCGCGTCTCGTGGCACAGCCACAGCTCCTGTCTGTGAGGCCAAGTGTGCCCAGTGCCGGCTGCAGGCGCCCCCGGGAACCTCACAGGGCACCCTGGAAATCCGGACCATTACATGCTGGTTAAAAATAAATCAGAGGGGCTGGGGATTTAGCTTAGCGGCATAAGCACCTGCCTTGCAAGCAGGCGGTCCTGAGTTCGATCCCTGGTACTGATAAAAAAAAATGAAATAAAATAAAATGAAGCAAAGGCTGGGCGTGGGCGTGCACGCCTGTCATCCCAGCGCTCGGGAGGCTGAGGCGGGAGGATCTCTTCGAATTCAAGACCATCCTCGGCTGCACAGTGAGCTCAAGGCCGGCCTGGGCTGCACGGTGAGACCTTGTCTCAGAAACACACAAAAAAATTATAAATCAATAATTTAGAGAAATTATAAATAAATTGTAAATAAATAAATGCTCAGTAAACACAAAGTCCCCCGCCATGTACTCCGACAGCTGCTTTGCAGACAACAGCGCACCCCGTGCTCACCGGATCGGTTCTGACCCGGCCGCTCTGTCCTCCAGGAGTCCCGGGCCGTGAATCAGATGCCGCAGGCCCGGCCCGGCGTCTCGGGGGCTCCCGGTGTTGGGGTCACAGTCCCCAGCCGTTCAGCGGTGCTGGGGCCGCCGGTGCTGACCTGCAGCTGATGGGCAGACAGACAGACAGACGGACACCTCCGCTGAGGCCAGAGCTGCGGACGGAGCCAAGCAGATGCAGCCCTGGGCGGGTTCTCGGGGACAGAGGAGCAAATAGCGGGGACCCCGGGCCTCAGCCTTCGGGGTTTGCAGGCGGCACCCGGGTGCAGCCTGCCCTGTGCCAGCTCCGCGAGGCCTTGCGAGGTTTGCCGAGCTCTGCGTGGCCCCCGCGGGCTGCGGGGTCTGGGGCGCCTCGACGTCCTGAGCAGGGAAAGAGATGCAGGCCTCTGTGGGTGCTGGTCACCCCGCGGACTGACTGCCCTTCTGGGCCTTGCAGGACAGTGAGACCCTCCCGCCCCGGCCTCCCCGTGACACCCTCCCGCCCCAGCCTCCCCTGTGACACCCTCCCGCCCCGGCCTCCCCCGTGAGACCCTCCCGCCCCGGCCTCCCCCGTGACACCCTCCCGCCCCGGCCTCCCCGTGACACCCTCCCGCCCCGGCCTCCCCGTGACACCCTCCCGCCCCAGCCTCCCCTGTGACACCCTCCCGCCCCGGCCTCCCCCGTGAGACCCTCCCGCCCCGGCCTCCCCGTGACACCCTCCCGCCCCGGCCTCCCCGTGACACCCTCCCGCCCCGGCCTCCCCCGAGACACCCTCCCGCCCCGGCCTCCCCCGTGACACCCTCCCGCCCCGGCCTCCCCGTGACACCCTCCCGCCCCGGCCTCCCCGTGACACCCTCCCGCCCCGGCCTCCCCGTGACACCCTCCCGCCCCGGCCTCCCCCGTGACACCCTCCCGCCCCGGCCTCCCCGTGACACCCTCCCGCCCCGGCCTCCCCCGTGACACCCTCCCGCCCCGGCCTCCCCCGTGACACCCTCCCGCCCCGGCCTCCCCCGTGACACCCTCCCGCCCCGGCCTCCCCCGAGACACCCTCCCGCCCCGGCCTCCCCGTGACACCCTCCCGCCCCGGCCTCCCCCGTGACACCCTCCCGCCCCGGCCTCCCCCGTGACAGCCTCCCGCCCCGGCCTCCCCCGAGACACCCTCCCGCCCCGGCCTCCCCGTGACACCCTCCCGCCCCGGCCTCCCCGTGACACCCTCCCGCCCCGGCCTCCCCCGTGACAGCCTCCCGCCCCGGCCTCCCCGTGACACCCTCCCGCCCCGGCCTCCCCGTGACACCCTCCCGCCCCGGCCTCCCCCGTGACACCCTCCCGCCCCGGCCTCCAGAGCGCTGACCTTAGGTCTCTCTTCCTGGAGCCCAGACGCAGTCAGTCGGTGGCTTTGCAGCAGTTTGTCTTTCTGTCCCTTTGAGCCAGGGTCCGGCTCTGCAGCCAGGCCGGCCTTGAGCTCACTGTGCAGCCCGGGCTGGCCCCGAACTCCCAGCGACCCTCCTGCCTCAGCTTCCCCGGGGCTGGGATGACAGGTAGGCGCTCCCCCCCCCCGCACCCCCCGGCTGATCATTCACCCTTCTGATGCACCCCGAGTTTCTCGGGGACTCCTGCAGGGGTGGCTGGGTGCAGGGCCAGCCCTGGGCTCTGACCTGGCCCTCCTCTAATGCCCCGTGGATCCCTCTTTCTCGGGGCCCCCGTGGACCTCGAGGCCATCTCCGCCAAGCCCCACGCCCTCGCCTGGGCCCTCACCCCGTCAGGTTGGAGGACGCCAGGTCGGATCCGCCCAAGCCCTGAGCCTTTGTCCTGGGGCCGCTGCACCTGAGAAGGAGCCCGGCTTGGTGCATCAGGACCCGAGCTCGGGGAACCAGCCGGCTGTGCGGGACCCAGCTCAGCTGCAGAGGGGCAGCCGGGGGTGGCCGGGTGCGCGGAGCCCCATCTCCCTGGAGCTGGCGTTTAACCAAGGCTTTGCCCCGTCACCCGGTAAGTGACTGACTTTTACATTTGGCCGGCAGGGAGCCGGCGGACCAGTCTGGACGGCTGGAAACTCTGTTTGTCTCTCTCTCTGGATTAAAAAACAACCACAAAGTCAAGATGACCACAACAGGGTCAAAAGCAGAGCGAGACAGCATTTCAAACCACACGGCAGGACTTCAGCCAGGGCTGCGGGGTGCCCTGTGCCTCCCAAAGGCCGTGGCTCGGGCTGCCAGACCCAGCCGGGCAGGGCTGACCCACGGACACAATCTCCCTTCCCCTGTGACTGTCTGTCGTGTGACTTTTCGATCGTATTTGTGTTTCACAGCAGCGAGACAATGCCAGCCTGACTTACTTCACTTGCGAGCCTGGATTCTGGTTGCCTCCACCGACCCATCAAGGCCCGTTCGTGGCCTGTGTCTCTGAGGGTTTAACAGGAGGAACCCAGGTGAAGCCTGGAGGACACGGCCAGGACCCCTAAACCCGATGCCCTGGGAACCCGGAAACCCGGGGCGGGCCAGGTGAGCGGGGCGTGGCCTGAAGACCAGCCTGGTCCTGGCCCGGCCCTGGAACCAATCAGAGAAGGCGTTACTTTATTCCAGTTCTTTACGTAAATCCAGTACTCTTCCCAGGGCCAATCAGAAGATGTGATGTTGGGCCCTTCATTTGCATGTGGGCACAGCCAATCCGAACACGCGGCTCCTGATTGTCATTTACATCCGCTGGGAACCCGGCGAGCCTTTCCATTGGACGGTTCATATCTGGCGCCAGTATGAAGGAGTTTCTGATAGGGCGGACGTCCCGGGGCCGCATGCGCACGACCCAGAGCCCGCTCAGGGAGGCTGGGTGCAAGAGACCACTTTGCCGTTACCTGGGGGCCGTGGGGAGCCTTCTCTTGGAGATTTCTCCTCTTCCCACCTCCAGGAAATGTGCGGCTTTTCTCTGGGTCACCAGGTCCCTGGAAAGAAGCCCCGTAGGACCCACCACTGGGCAGCTACCTGGTGGACACCCTCCTGCCTCTGCCTCCTCCTCCGAGTCCAGATGGCCCTGGGCCGCTGCCCTGTCCCTGCAGGCTCTGCCTCCACCTCCGTGTCTGTGTCCTCTCTTCTGTCCGTCATGAGGACGCTGCCGTTGGATTCAGGAGGCCGAGGCAGGAGGGTCTCCTCTCCAGAGTCCCTCTAATGCAGGGACCCTCTTTCTTCCTAAGGCGCCACCCGCAGGTTGGGAGCAGACCTCCCACTTCAGGGCCGCAACGGCCTGGAGGATGCGGGGTGACAGGGTCTGGGCCTTTCCCTAAGCCTGTGGGGTCAGGGTTGGGGTGGGGGTCAGGGTTCGGGGCGGCGAGGCAGGGCACTCCCGGGCCCTCCCGGCTCCTCAGGCCCTCAGTGCTGACACAGCCCTCATGAGCCCCCCACCCCACCCCCGACCCCCTGGCCTTTGCATCTGCCTCCTGCTCCATCCGGGAGGCTGAGCACTCAGGGTCCCCTGGGGCCGCCCTGTCCTGACCTGCAGTGTAAAACACAGCCCCCTTTTCAAAGCTTTGGCCCCCAGGAAACAGGGGGCATCGCTTGGCATCTTAAAGGGCCCGCGGCGACTGGGTGTGTGGAAGGCTTTGTTCCCCGTCTGCAGGGCTCCTGGGAAGGCGCGGGACCTTTAAGGGGCGGGGCCTGAGGAGGATGTTATATCATTGGGGGCGTAGCCATGTCCTTAGGGGCGTGGCCTAGGAAAGTCTATATAAACCCTGGGCCCTGCGCTGTCTGGCTCCAAACATGAGGCTTTCCGGGGTGACCGGGGGTGACCACACCCGAGTATCCTATCAGCCCCCTGGAGTAACAGACCAAAACGAACCCAAAGCCTGAGAGGCTTTCATGCTCTCTTGATGCAAAGCCTGACTTACACCCAGCTGAGCCCCAGCCCTCGAGGACGAGCTGCATGTAAGTCTGGGGTCCCCAGGCCCGCACCCCTAAACCGGGGCTGCAGTGAGCCGGTGTCCCCGATATCGCAGGGGGGACCCCGGGTCCTGAGCGCTCTGAAGTCACCCGCAGATGAACCCAGGGCTGGGCGCACAGCGGGGCATCGTGGGGGCCAGCAAGCCCCAGAGGGCTCTTTTGGGGGAGTCACTGACCCCCGTTTTCTCCTCTGTCTCTCGGGGCTTCACCTCGCTGCAGACCCATAAATGATGAAGCCAAGCGGACATCTCGGGCCTGCAAGACCCAAACGCACCAGCCCAAGCCGAGCTCCCCAGGCCGGGCTCGAGCTCGCGGGGACCCTCCTGCCTCAGCCTCCCGAGGGGTGCTGGGCCCCGCGGGCGTCACCACCCCGGCTGCAGCCCGCTTTTCCTAGAAAAATCTCCCAACGAATTATCTAGATGTTTTGATATTTTCGAACACATTCAAAAGCAGGGGCTGGGTTTCTTTAGCTTCATTTAGTTGGCAGACAGGCCGGGCGGGATCGGGGACCAGGAGGCTGTCCTGGGTCTCCTGCTGTGCCCTCCAAAAAACCTGCCCGCGGTGGCCGGTGCTGGGCTGAGCTCCGCTCCGAGCCGGGATTTGCAGAGATGCAGGACAGCTGAGTATCACCGCAGAGCCCAGCACGGAGCCGGCCGGGGTGCGGCCTCAGCCAGGCGGGTTTGCAGCGTCCTGGGGGTCCGCTCCCCGAGATCAAGGCGGGGAAACCGCGGAAGCCCGGCCCAGGTCTTCCTCTAGGGTCTGTGCACAGTAAAAGAAATCGTCAGACTCAATGGTTCATTCTGTAGCAATGGGCATTTTCTGAGGACAGGGACGCTGTTTGTCCCTGCCCGCCTCTGGGCTCCTGCTTTGTGGACTCTTCCCCGAGGAGCTCATTTCTAACTGAAAGTCTGTGTGTTCTGAGCTGGCCCCGTCAGCTGCTTTAATATTTCAGGTGCAAGCCGTGCCTCGGTTCACCCGTCTTTCTGCACTCTGCCTGCAGTTAAAGGTGCCGGAGAACGGTGGAATCTCCCGTGGAAACTCACGTGCGGCTGGCCCGGCCTGTTTCTGTTTTCCCATAGCGTTGCTGGGCTGCCCAATCCTGGCTCTACGTACAGGGGCTCCTCCTGCCTCAGCCTCCCAGAAGCTGGATTTAGAGGGATGCACCACCGTGCCTGGTTTTTTCTTTTTTGGGACTGTATAGTATTCCACACCCAAAAGCACCATAAATGATTCAGCACAGGGCTGGCTGTGGAAACCCTGTTAGTTCCAGCCTCCCCGCCCCCCCCCCAGAGACGGTGCTGCGGTCAGAGACCGACAGGTCGGACCCTCAGTCGCTCGTGAGCAGGTATGAGCTCCGCCCGGTCCGTGCACCATTCCCGTCTGGCTGATGAACACTGGGCTGTTCCAGGGAGACCTGAAGAGCGGCTGCCTGATGGATGCCGGGTCTTTGGGGTGGTGGGAATGTTCTGGAATCGCATTTTAAACATGTCTCTGGGCACGGTGTGCGCCCGTTACTCCAGCACTGTGGGAGGCTGAGGCAGGAGGGCTCCAAATCTGAGCCCAGCCCGTGGAAAGTCAGAGCGACGCTGTTGGGGGACAGAGCGTGGAGCTGTGTGGGGCGCCATCGTTCAGGGCCTCGTAATTCTCCCCAGCGCCTTCCTGAGGCTCCGGGGCTCACAGTGCGGGGCATTGGGGAAAGGGTCTCTGCGGGTGTAGCTGAGTGTGGGAGGTGAGGGTGAGGCCGTGCTGGGGCCGCGGGGCTCGGAGCCGGGGAGGCGACGGACTGCTGTCCAGGACCTCAGAGGTGCGGGCACCCCGTCCATCAGCTACCGGGCCCCGGGGCCAGGCTGACCATGCCCGTGGCTGCCCGCTGCGTCACCTAAGGGCCGCGGGCAGCGTGCCGGGTCCCGGCGTGGCCCACACAGCTGGTTCCTTCCCCGCCCTCCTCCCCTCCGTCTCGGGGTCCCCGTCCCCCCAGAAGCTCCGACCCCCTCTCCCCAGCCTGCTTTGCTCTTTCTCCACACCCGGGTCCCCCAAGGCTGGCGCTGAGCTCGGGGGCCCACTTCCCTCGCTGGGCATCCAGGTCCCAGCTGCACCCCATTTCCTGCACGAACCCCGAGTTTCTGCCCCCGTGCAGAGCGGCGTGGACATCAAATATTAACACCAGGAGCGGGAACGGGCGGGGGGCCGTCCACTTTGGGGGGCCGCAACCTGGCCAGTCGCTGTGGAAGCCAGCGCAGGCCTCGGGGAGCGCAGGCCGCCAACCGCACCCCGGGGCCCCCCGCGTGCTCCCCAAGAGCCCAGGGCCTCGGCCCACAGGGCCCGGGGACGGGGCCCGCCCTAGTGGGTCCCCCACCGCAGGCCTGCGGCTCCTCCACCCTTCTGTCCCCTTCAGCACCCCCCTCCCTGCAGTTTCCATATTTGGGGGAGGATTTCACTCACACACTGGATTTGACTTTATTTATTCACTTTATTACCCGCCTTTCCTCCTGCCTGCTACGGCCTCCCCTCTTCCGAGCTCTTTCTGCCTCCTGCTTTCTCATCTCTTTTAGCTTCTACGTATCAGAAACGGCAGGCGATATTTGTCTTTGTGATCCCCAGATCCATCCGTGTGCTGTCACGTAGCAGGATCTCGTGTCGGGCGCGTGGCTTGGTAAACGTGGCCTCGTGTTCCGTGGCTCGCGTTCCCGTGCTTGCAACCAGGCTCGGTTTTGAGCGGCCGTCGTGCCACGTTACAAGCTCTGTCCTGCGGTATGAATCTGTCTGCAACGCTTTTTTTTATTGGTACCGGGATTGAATTCATGACCTCGCGTTTGCCAGGCTAAAAGTTACATAAACGGGCGCAACCCGGCTTTCCGCCATTGGACCCATAATCAGGACCACTAATGAGGCCCGCTAGCTCCCCGGGCTGCAAACTGTGCAGGTCAAGAGCTGGACGGAAGCCGGACGCCACCCGGACGCCGCTGTGGGGCTGCTCTGGCCTCTTGTGGGAAGGTTGCACCCAGCGGCCCCATGAAAACCCCGCCATGTGGCCGGGCGTGGGGCGCACGCCTGTCATGGCAGCACTCGGGAGGCCGAGGCAGGAGGGTCTCTGTGAGTTCCACACCAGCCTGGCTTCACCCCAGCTCCTCCCTTCACCGGGGCTCCCCGGGGCGGGCCTTCCTCCTGCATGGCCTCCTACAGGGCCGGGCTTCGGGGAGGGACGCCAGCCCTGTGCTGGGCTGCAACCCAGCCCCGCTTTCCTTGTCCATGTTGAGGCCGTGTCTCCCTACTGTGGTAAAAGCCCGGCTGGGCTGGGACTCGAGATCCTCCCGCCTCAGCCTCCCCCAGCACGGGCTTGGGAATGCTCAGCAGCACACTGGGCAGGACCAGCTGAGAAGGGGGCGGATGCCGGGCGCTGGCTCCATAGTGGACACGTCCAGGGCTGAGGTCCAGGCTGACCATGTGCAGGACGTGGGCACCGGGGAGGACCTGGAGGGTGAGCTCTGGTCCCGGCTCCTCCCTTCTCTCCCTGTTTCCCGGCCCCCATGATGTGGGCGTCTCTCCTCCCCATCGGTTCCCGATGTTTGCACCCCGTGGCTGGCGGGCTCCCTCCGGAGCGTCTCGCTGAGCTCGGGGCTCACTTGTCCGGCTGCCGACGCCCAGATGAGCCTGCGGCCCCGAGAGCGTCTCTGCAGGAATTGGCAGCAGCTCTGAGCTGGTGCAGACGGGGGACAGCAGGCGGCCTTTGCAGCTCCCTGTCCGCCGGCTCCATCTCTGTGTGTCAGTCTGTTTGCAATCAGGCTCTGCAGGGAGGGGGGACCCCCAGGGGTGCTGGGGGACACTCAGGCCTTTCATGCAGAAGAAAAGACACGGCGGGGGTTTGAGAACAACAGGAGGATGCAGAAGGCGCCTGCAGACACCAGACAAAAAGACAGATTTGTAAAGACGCCGCCTGTGTCCTCCGCCTGAGCCCGGCTCAGATTCTGGGGCGCCCGCTCCCCTCCTGGGCACACGGGCAGACCGCGTAGGTGTCGGGGCCCTCAGGCTGCAGAGGGAATCACTGAGCCCCCCAAAGACATGAAGGGAGCCCCAGAGCGGACGGGATCTGCACACGGAAATGCGATCTGCAGACGCCTCGGGCTGGGCTCCGCCGGGCAGGCTGAGCGGCTTTGGGGTCCAACCTCGGACCCCAAAAGGTCACAAGGACACATTTCTGGGTGCCCCTGACCACATGGAAACCCCCAAAATGCACACAGAGAACATGCGAGCCGCAGTGCTGGGCTTAGTACTTCCTAAGAGTGCACGGTGAGCCGGGCGTGGTGGCTCCCGCCTGTCATCGCAGCACTCGGGAGGCTGAGGCGGGAGGATCTCTGCGAGCTCGAGGCCGGCCTGGCTGCACAGTGAGCTCAAGGCCGGCCTGAATCCACAGCGAGACCCCTCCTCAAAGAGACAGAAAAACCAAACAACAGTGCGGGTTGTTACCGGTGCACGCGATCACGCCATAAAAGCAATTTGAGCTGCGTGTTCATGTGCAATATAATTCTATATTTTGTCTTTTTTTTCCAGTGCCGGGAATCAAACTCACAACCTCACGCTTAGCCGGCAGACGCTTGTGCTGCTGAGCTCAATTCGCAGCCCCAAGAACGTGTAATAAATATATTACCTAGTATTGCTTTCTTACTGTTGTGTTTGAAATCCTGCATTATTTCAATCCTTGTCTTCTGTGTTGCTTTTTAAAAATAAAAACGACTAAGTGAAGGCAAAGAATCAAACTTACTCAGGAAGCCTTTGGACTCTGGTTTTGCTGGTCACTTGCGAGGTTTTATTTTATTTCTGGTCTTGTGTCTGGAGCCGGGACTCAACCCAACGCGGGGCCGCTGCTGCACCTCGGGGGACCCTCCCGCCTCGGCCTCCCGAGTGCTGGTCCCGTCTGCAGCGCCCCGAACCCCGGCCAGGTCTGTTCTGTCAGTGCTGAGACAGGGACCCTTCCCCAGGGCAGAGGGCAGACACACAAAGGCGGCCACGGAATTAAGTCACTCGTGCAGACTGCACACGCCCCGCCTTCCCCACACAGGAGCCAGCTCGGCTCTGCACACGTTTCCTGGGTCGGGCCGCGTGACCAGGACGCCTGGGAGAGTCAAATGCACTGGGGAAGACACATGTGTGTGTGTGGGGGGGGTAAAAGTTTCAATCAACAATCAGCAGCTTGGGCAGAACATCATGTCAAAGCCTGGGGGGTGGACTGGGGCTGCTCCAAGTGTGATGGTCAGGAACCGAAAGGAGAGAGACAGACAGAGACAAAGAAAGACAGACAGAGACAGAGACAGAGAGAGACAGAGAGGGAGAGGGAGGAGCATCTGGAGCCCTAATATACTCTCCCAGGCCACGCCCCACAATGACGTCACTTCCTATTAGGCTCCGCCTTTTAAAGCGTCCACTACGTCCCAACAGCATCTCTGTCTCTGGCTCAGGGTGTTCGCAGCATTTCTGATCTGACTTTATGGTCTTAAAACTCAATCCAGGCTGCACCGGTTACATAAACACGCTCGCAGTTCGGGTGTACACAGAACTCCTCAGCTCCACAGCCGGCCAACGGTTCAGCACACAACTGCATGTTTTAGGGGGAGAAAAGGGACCCTAACCCTGACCCCGCCGTGGCTCTGCACGGAGGACCCCGTGGGCTCGCAGCTCAGCGTCTGCCTCGAGTCTGCTGCGTCCAGCCTGACGTGGAAGTCAGGAGCCATCCACACACCGGAAACATATTCGTGGAAGTGTTGGTTTCCGGGCAAGGTCAGGCTCCGATGTGCTTTCCACGGCACCCAGCTATTCCCTTTGTAGGAGTCTGAAGACGTCCTCTTCCCCTGCACACCCGAGCTCACAACGGTAAAGCTCAGAACAGCTAAATTGGGGAGCAACAGTTGAACCGACAGAGAAAATGTGTTCACGTACAGTGGAGTACTACTCTGCCCCGAAAAAGGAAAGATAAAAATCTGCTCAGCCATGTGGGAAGCCCAGGTCTGCTTTCTGGTGTCTCCCCCGGCTGGATGGCGTCCCAGCGGGAAGGTCAGTGTGGGGAGCTTCTGCCCCGCCAGCACTGACCCCCGTGCCCGTTGCCCCGCACCTGTCTTTTTCTTTGCTCGTATTCACCGTCCGGGGTTCCTGAGTAAGAGAGCCCTCGCTACCCCGAAGTGCACGTTTTTGATTGCTCTCTCTTTACACCAGTCTCATGATGTGTCCATTTTCTTACTCGAGACTCGGTTTACCCTTCTTCATGGCTACGTAGTACTCCACACTGCATCATGTAAACTACCATTTTCTTTATGCGATCACCTCCCGATGGGCTCACAGGCTGCTTCCGAGCTGTCGCCGTTGTGAGCTGAGCTGCTGTGTCCATGTGCTGGGGACCCCGAAAGCAGCCGAGGGCCTGGGTTCCAGGGCAGCGTCCTGCAGGAGTCCAGCTGAACACCCGGAGCCCACCACAATGACCCATGCGAGTCTCTTTGGGGATCTGCACTGGGAAGGCCCCACCACACCAGAAAGTCTGTGCCAGCGAGTGGAGGGTTCTGCACCGCGGCCAGGACGGAACGCTCAGAATAAGGAGCAGGGCTCCCCCAAAAGCACCGCGGCCACCCTCCGCGGCACAGAGGTCCCGAGCTCCTGCGTGACAGCTGAGTTCACAGGAAAGTCGGCGCCCAGCAGAACCCCAGCGCCTGCGTCCCTCGGGCTTCTGTGCCGTGGCAGCGCCCATCAGGTGGGCCGTGCAGCCCAGCACAGCTGCCCAGTCCAGGGGGAGCCGCAAGCTGACCACCAGGTCCCCCCACAGGGGCCCTGGACGCAGGCAGGGCTGCACCGCGGGCACCAAGCTCTGCTGGTCACCAGGGTCTCCGCGAACGTGGGCATCTGTGCATCCTGCACACACACACACACACACACACACACACACATGCACGCGGCCTCTGCACAAGCCCTGTCCTGCACACACTGCAGCATGGACCCACTTAGGTATCAAAGAACTTAGCCTTCCCTGCAAATGTATTTTATTTTTTGTCTTTTGAGACGGGGTCCCGCTGTGCAGTCCAGGCCGGCCTCGAGCTCACAGACAGCCTCCCGCCTCGGCCTCCCCAGTGAGTGCCGGGATGACAGGCGTGCGCCACCCGCCCGGCTCTGTGCTCCACGTCACCCGTTGCTTGGAAATCGCTCCTGAGGGTCTGTTTTAGGCTCAGTCCGTCCCTTCCTGCAGGTTCTAAGGGGTGGATGGAGAGGAGCCCGGTCGGTGCCCGTGAGATCCAGCACCCGTGACGGGGGCCGGCGGCCTTGGTGTCGTGCTGAGCAGGGAACTCGGATCCGGGAGCAGCCGGCGGCATCTGGGGAGCCGGAAGCTGACCAGGAGGGCAGGAGGCGTCCGGGCCGGGCCGTGGGCGCTCCCCGGTCCCTGGTGCGCTTGATCAGGATGGAGTTTTACCTCGAAGGCAGTTCTGAGTCCTTGCGACATGGGACGTGGAGTGCCTGGTCCTCAGCTCTGGAAGAGGCTTCGGGGAGCACTTGGGTGCAGCCATGGGGGGTTTTAACTTTCATTTTATTGCTCTGATCAACAGAAAGCCCATCAACAGCACATCTTGCGGTGAGTCAGCTCACACCCGAGCTGAACAGGGCAGCTGTGTTTACAGACAGAAGCGCTCGGGTATATACACAGCACCTCTGTGTACGCAGTGGAATATTACGCAGCCGTAAAGAAGGACGGCGGTGGGTCATTCACAAGACAATAGACGGGATTGGGGACCGCCATCTTAAGCAAAGTAGATCAGACTCCAAAACACAAGTGCTGCGTATTTTCTGCCAAGTATGTGAAGCAAGAGAGGTGGATGGGGAAAGAGACAGAGAAGGAGATCAGACAGGGAATTCGTGACATGGAAGCTGGTGGCCCTGCGGGTCCCTGGTGGCTTCCACCATCAGATTCTTCCTTTATCAACTCCAGAGTTTTACGTTCCTGAGATTCATGTGTCTCCTTACAGACTTCCCAGTCTAAGGCTTAATTCGCTCTTTTTTTAGATTTAACAAAGCTTAGTATATTGCGCACCGTTGTGTTCAAAGCAGCTGCTCGGATTGCAAGACACGCGCGTGAAAACGGGGGCCCGCAGGGGAAGTCACGAACCGCTCTTCCTGACGAAGCCACACAGATTAGCACTATATAATTAAAGTCACTATTTAAAAGCCCAGCTCCCTGCAGACTGAGGACAAGCTTCAAGCCCGCGCTGGCTCAGGAGGCCGTATTAGCCGGAGGCTCACGCTCCTGAGATGGTTCTTGCCCGGGTCTCCTTTCCTGTGCTCCCCGAAGACATCTGGGAGAGAGAGACAGACAGACAGACAGACGAACAGACAGGGCGAGCTTCCTGATGCCAGTGGGGTAGGAGCTCGGTTTGCTTACGTTTGAATTTACTGATATTTTTGCTTAGAGTTCACACAGGTTTCTATGAAAATGAGTGTCTCTCAGAGCGGGATTTGGACACACACTCACAACGTCGCCCTCCCGGGCTCCGAACCTGTCAGCATCCTCTGCCCGGGGACGCTGAGCTGATGGGAGCTCAATGGACCCTCCCCGCGTGCAAAGCAGCTGAGTGAATCTTCAACACACAGCCAGGCTCCTAGAGAGCCTGCAGACCCTGCCTCAGAGGCATCAAACTTCCCTCCAGGCACAATCCGTGCAACACGTGGGAGCTCCTGCACGCTTCACACTGTCTCCAGATTGCTGAGGACAAATGCAATTTGGCAGAGACCAAAGAGGCAGCCTGACACTGGAAATCCATTTTGTCACCCTCAACATGGCGCTGTGTGCCAGGAATCCCACAGCTGCAGGAGGAAAATGGTGCAGTCAACACAGCCCCTGGGCTGCAGAGGTTCCCATCTACAACG